TCACCCCTAGAGATTCTGATTCAGTATATCAGAATTACGTGTTTTAAATAAGCACTCCAGGTAATTATGAAGCAGCTGATGTGAAGACTACACTTTGAAAGACACTGGTTTGTGGTGGAAAGCTTTTAGATTCTATCCCAAGCACAATATGATGACATGGACATATCTATTCTATTAAAATTATCAGCATTAGAAACCATCGATTACAAGTAACCTCAGAAATTAATAGCCTGTATATTTTTGGTAGACTTCTCTCCTCAGTGCAATATAATACAATACACAGATAATCAATTCGGTCTCTTTCTTCAGGCAAGAGACAAAAGAATTTATATAAACAATTTCCTGACTGGTCAGTCCCAATGTGGGCCAGTATATCATGCAGATTAATGGTGGAAGGGCTTTTTCCAGCTGGGTGAAAACAGAATATTGCCTTCCCAATATTAATGCAGGGTTACACATAAGACCCAAATAATTATTGCCCAATAACTCTTTTGGAGGTGGTTTTATAATATAGGAAACACTTACAAAGAAGTAAATAATAAATGAAAGTGAATCAAACTTCTTTACTACAGGTCTTGCACTCAATAATTACTAGCCTATAGATGTGGTTATTTAAAAGGCAATAACTATAGCCAATAAGATGAGTCACAATTATAAATTATCAAAAAGTCAGCATCCTAATTATACTTTGGAATCATATTCTAGAGAACACCCTCCAATGTAGTAATCACTCAGCTGGCTTCTTATAGCCGTGCCTTTTATAAGGGTGGCTCATATCATTAGTGATTTTCCTGCCATATCAATTCCCCCTCTTAGTTAACATTATGCATAATCAGGCCCTTGGACAGCTAATCTTTCTGGAATATATTGACTTTTTGTCTTTTGCATTTGTCTTAACTAGTCTGCATCTGGCATTCCCTGAATGAACCAGGTGAAGAGTCAGGACAGGTGTTGTGTTTGTTTCAGGGCCAGTTCTGAATTTGTGTCAGCTTCATTTGGCCTATTGAGAAAGGCAGTCTCCCCCAAAGCTTAACAGTTTCAGATACAATAAATATGTAATAACCAAAAGACACCTAAGTACATACTTTATAGAGAAAAGATTATATTAGTCAAATTTTCAGATAGTTTTAAGAATTACTCATTTATCTCATGAAATACATATTCATTGAGCCTCTAGTAAGTGCCAGGCCCTATTCTAAGCTTTGGGGCTACAGTAAAAATGAAAACGTTCCTGCTCCTGGAAGTTGGAACTCATAGTCTAGGGAGTGAGACACACAATATATGGAAGAGCAAGTATTATGTGATAGATAGATAAGTGCAATGCAGAAAAATGAAGAAGAGTAAGGAAATGAGTTGTGATAAAAGTGGTCGAGAATGACCTCTCTAAAGGTGGCAACATGTATGCAGACCCTTGAATAAAGTAGGGGGTAAGCTATTCAATTATCCAGGAGTAAAAGACTCCAGGCAGATGAAATAGCAAATTAAAAAGCTCTGAATTGGAATCTTATTGGTATACCTGAGAAACAGAAAGGAGGATAACAAGGGGGAAATTAATAGGAGGTGGAATTGGAGAAATATCAGGAACCAAGTTGTACAGGGCCTCAAACAGCCTTGGTAAGTAACGACTCAGAGTAATATGAGAAATACGGCAGATTAAAAATGGCCAAAAATTATTTGTTACTCTTTCCATTGAGAGGTGAAGCCTAATTTCCCTCTTCTTGACCCTGGGCTGACCGTGGTGACACGTTTAACCAATAGAATGCACGGAAGTGATGTTCTGGGACAAGAACGGGTCTTAAAGCCTTGCAGCTTCCACCCAGACACATTCTACCGGCTGCTATGTAAGAAGTATGTCTACCCTGAGACCACTATGCTGTGAGTCATTCCAAGATAGTTATGTAGAGAGCGTGTAGAAAAAGAAACAGAGAGAGATGTTCATCCAGCCACAGCTGTTTCATCCATTCCAGCCTAGCTGCCAGACATAAGTAAGGAAGTCATTTTGGACAATCTAGCCCCAGCAGACATCATGTGGAAAAGAACCAAGGTACTGGACATATGATCCTACTAGGGCTGTTCAGTCATTCCAATGACCCCAGGTGAGTTTCACTGGGGAAGAGAGATGAATAATCTTCACTATGACTTTTACAATTTCTTGACCCACAAACTCAGGAGCATAGTAAAATGGTTGCCATTTGATTATATGCCTCTAAGTTTTGGGTGATCTGTTATGCAACAATAGATGACCTGCACAGTGAAAAATTAGACAGTTGAGAGCAAGAGAATTTAATCCTGATTGATATTCTAAAAGGACCACTTTATCTGCTGAATTGGGCCTAGACTTGCAAGGGGATAAGAAGGAAATCAGAATGATTATTTAATTCAATTGAAAGTCCAGGAAAAAAAAATAGTGGCTTGGAGTAAAATAGTAGTATAGGAGAAAATGAAAAATGGTTGAATATGAGATAAATTCTGAAGTTAAATTGACAATATTTGATCAAAAATACAGATACTCCATTTATTTTAATTTCAATTTTGAAAATATACTAATATGTCATGTACTACACTTACTCAGAAATGCCTGAAATGTATAAACGATGAAAGGTCTCTTAAATAAATGAGGGTATACTGAATCTTTTTTTGATTCAGAATCTGTTTATATGTCTGGTTAGTCATTATGAGCATCAAATGAACATTACATTTTCATTGTAGAAATTTGTATTGACCTGGGGCATGTCTAGAAGCTTTTAGCATGCCTCTGCTTTTTCACAGAACTCATTTATTATTTTTTAGCTCTTTTGACAAATATTTATAAAAAACCTTTTATGTATGTGTTGCTAAGTGCTTAATATACAATTGCGAGGAAAACGAAGCACAGTGTCTTTTGATGGAAGGTGGAATTTTGTTTTTGAAGGTAGACTTTCAACAAATAATCACATAAATAATTATGATAAATACTATAACCACATCCCAGGGCTTTAACAGAAGGATTTGACTCAACAAGGATGAAAATGGTTATCCTGAAGAAATTGAAGAATAGGTTGAAATCTAAAGACAAAGTTAGAGTTAATTATTATAAAGATAAGTGCAAGAGTACTCTTAGCAGACAAGAAAGCAAGTGCAAATGATCTGTAGCATTTAGGACATGATATACTAGCGAAACTCAAAGAAGACCTCTCCCACTATGCAATTTGTTTTCCACACTGAAGCTAGAATGATCTTTAAAAAATCTAAACCAGATGTCTCCCTCCTGCTTCTAAAAAATCCTAGGATGGCTTCTCTTCTTAAAGTGCAACACAGATAGTGACTCCATTTACTGTTTTACAGAAGCACTGGAAGAGGACAAGGCTTGAGGACAAAAAAATGAATTAGGTTTTGGACATATTGGGTTTAATGTGCCTTTGAGACACACTAATGGAGATGTCAAGAAGAGAGTTAGATATATTGCTAGGGAGGTCTGGTTGGGGATAAGTAGGTTATCACTCTAAAGGAAGTATTCAAAGCCATGGTATGAATGAGAGCACCAAAGAACAGATTATAAAATTAGAAGAGAAAGAGAATGAGAACCACATTTAGAAACCCTAGTGGAGGAGAATGTACTTTTATAAAAGAGACAAATAAGGAGTAGCCAGAGAGGTAAGAGGAAAACCTGGGGACTATAGTGCCATAAACGCCAAAGGCAGGTGTGACATCAGCAAGATGGTGCTCATCCTCCTGCACAAACATCAATTTTGATGAATACCCATGGATGACAGTACCGTTTTAGGAGTCTGAGAGTCCAGTGGAGAAGTTCCAACACACCACTGGAGCAAAAAAAATCAGTGAATAGATGCATCAAAGAGGGCAAAAAAACAGTTTTATTTTATGCACATCAATCCTCTTCAATGGAAACCCATCTCAGTGCCAAGAGAGACCTCCTTGGCCTGCAATTTCTCCCAAGGGAGAAGGTGAGAGTGTAATCAGTAAGCACTCTGCTCCCCCACTGATGTGAAAAACTGCTCAAGAGGTCTACTTCTTTCTGACTCCACCCAGATTACTGAGGTGATTGGCACAGCTGAATGGTTGGGAGAGGTTAGGAACAGGGAAGAAAGGCTCTACTATCTTCTCCACATGCTCCATCATCAAGAAGCCCATCCATGAGTCACTTGGGGTGCTTTGCCTGTGGACACTCCTAATTGGCCCAGGGCCACTCTAGATGTTATACGTGTCTCATACTTCCCCTCCACCAGGCTAGCTCCCTGAGTACTTCCTGATGGACAGTGCAAGTGTCTCCCACAAATAGCCAATTCTACTCTGTAGTATTGAGAGAAGGAACATGAACTTGAGCATTTCAGGCAACTTCCCTAGGGAAAACAAATATGAGGTTCTTAGCACCTGGTTTAGCTTTGTGAGATTGAGAAAAGACACACAATCTGTTAGGAATTCCACACCCACCCCAAGAGGGAACAAGAAGTGTGGAGCAGGTACATCCACAGAAAAAGTTTGAGAGAGTCCCCAAATTCCTAGCCAGGCTGAGTGGTGAAAGCATTTCTCGCTTGAAGCATCATTAGAGACTGGAGGAGGTGACTGCTTCTTCATATGTGAAGTCAGCAATGCAAGACTTCAAGAAACACACACACACAAAATCAAGGAAACATGACACCACCAAAGGAACACCATAATTATCCAGTAACCAACCCCAAAGATATGAAGATCTACAGATTGCCTGACAAAGAATTCAAAATAATTGTTTTAAAGAAGCTCAGCAAACAGTAAGAGAACACACCTCTCAGAATGGCTAAAATAAAAAGTAGCATTAACACCAAATGCTGGTAAGGATGCAGAGAAACTGGACCACTCATATATGTTGGTGAGAATGTAAAATGATACAGCTACTCTGTAAAACAGTTCAGTAATTTCTTAAAAACATGCAACTATCTTAAAACCCTGAAATCATTCTTCTGGGCATTTATCCCAAAGAAATAGCAACTTATGTTCAAACAAAAACCTGTACATAGCCTTTCGCCGCGTCGCGGGTGCCTGCGCCGCCTGCTCCACCTCGCTTCTCCTCTCCCGGCCGAGGCCCGGGGGGACCAGAGCCAGAAGCGGGGACCATGTTCCGACGCAAGCTGACGGCTCTCGACTACCACAACCCTTCCGGCTTCAACTGCAAAGATGAAACAGAATTTAGAAACTTTATTGTTTGGCTAGAAGACCAGAAAATCAGACACTACAAGATTGAAGACAGAGGTAATTTAAGAAACATCCACAGCAGTGACTGGCCCAAGTTCTTTGAAAAGTATCTCAGAGATGTTAACTGTCCTTTCGAGATTCAAGATCGACAAGAAGCAATTGACTGGCTTCTTGGTTTAGCTGTTAGACTTGAATATGGAGATAATGCTGAAAAATATAAGGACTTAGTACCTGATAACGCAAAAAATGCTGACAGTGCAAGTAAAAATGCAGAGCCATTGATCAATTTGGATGTATATAATCCTGATTTTAAGGCTGGTGTGATAGCTTTGGCTAACCTCCTTCAGATTCAGCATCATGATGATTACTTGGTAATGCTTAAGGCAATTCGCATTTTGGTTCATGAGCGCCTGACATGATGCAGTTGCTAAAGCAAATCAAACAAAAGAGGGCTTTGCCTGTTGCTTTAGACAAACATATTCTTGGTTTTGACACAGGAGATGCAGTTCTTAATGAAGCTGCTCAAATTCTACGATTGCTGCATATAGAAGAGCTCAGAGAGCTACAGACAAAAATTAATGAAGCCATAGTAGCTGTTCAGGCAATTATTGCTGATCCAAAGACAGACCACCGACTGGGGAAAGTTGGAAGATGAACACGAAGATTCCAGCTTCTCATCTACTTAGTACAGTTGGGAACCATGTACACTCTGGCATGTGTTTGGAAATCAAATGTCACATTTTCAAGGGAGGAATCCCCAGAAAATTGACAATGTTCTAGAGATTTACCACCACTACTTTTTTCCTTAATAAAGTTTGGGAAAGTGGAAAAAAAAAAAACCCGTACATAAAATTACAGCATCTCTATTCATATTAGCCAAAAACTGGAAAAAACCCAGGTATCCTTCAATGAGTGAATGATAAAATGAACTATGGTACATACATACCATGGGAGTGCTATTCAGCAATAAAAAGGAATAAATTATTGATACCTGCAACAATTTGGATGAATATCCAGAGAATTTTACTAAATCAAAATAGCCAATCCTAAACATACTGTATGATTCCATTTTTATAACATTCTTGAAATGATACAATTACAGAAACAGAGAAAAGTTTAGTGGCTGGCAGGGGTTAAGGAAGGGGTGTGAACAGGAGGGAAGTAGGTGTGGCTATAGAAGGGCAACACAGGGGATCCTTATAATAATAGAAATGTTCTGTATCTTGGTTGTATCAATGTCAACATCCTTTTTGTGATTTTGTACTCCAGTTTTCAAGATACTGTCATTTGGGAAACTGGGTAAAATGTCAATGGGATCATTTTGTATTATTTCTTACTACTGCATGTGAATCTATAATTATCTCAAGATGAAAGGTAGAAAGAAATAAACTGAGACATGTATAAACATGTCTATAAAAGAGAAACAGATGAAATATTATAGTTTGGAGAGGAATAATTTATTTAGAGATGGGGCAATTGGGAACTATTTCACGCAATAGATTGGTTGGATTTGGACATTCAAATCTAGGACGTTCTAAGCAGAGAAAATAGTATAAGATATCAGACTAGAAAGCTTGTGACATATTTGGAAGCTATTTTCAATTTCACTGGAGTCCTACGTTCTTGTAGGACAGCAGCGAAATAAGATTGGACAAGATAGAGATTGTGGAGAGTTTTAAATGTTATATTAAGGAATTTGTAGTTTCGTGTGTGGAGACATCAACTAAAGGGTCTAAGCTGGGGTATAACATGGCTAACACTTTGTTTTGGCATTAGAATGATGAAAATGGTTGGGGGGAGGTGAAGATACTGAAGGCAGGAGAATCGGTTAAGAAAGGATGGTAATAATTTAGGAATTTAGTAAGAAGTATAGTGGTGGTGGGCATGAAGAGGTGGTTCAGAACCTGTTTCACAGTTGTATCTTTACCTGTGCCAAGCATAGCACCTGATACACAATGACTGCTGAATAAGTATCTGTTAAACCCAAATATGAGTGGATAATGATTAAACAAACATAATTTCAGTCATACATATGTGTATTTAATCTTCACAGCACTGTGAGGTAGAGATTATTTGCATTTAAAGATGAGAAGCCTGAGAAATTTAAAGAAGAGAATTGCCAAGGCTGTAATTTATTTAGGCAACTGCTTTTTACATGCTTTTATTCCCACTGTTTTCCTGTCCTATCCTGTCCTGTCCTGTCATTTGTTTCCTTAGTACCAAAGCTAGTACTTAAGCAATTCAAACATTGGTTTTCTTCATCATTGGTAAATTAACTAATTACTTGCTCTTATGGTCTGAATGCTTGTATCCCCACAAAATGCACGTGTTGAAACCTAATCCCCAATGCAATAGTATTAACAGGTGGGGCCTTTAGGAGGTGATTAGATCATGAGGGTGGAGCCCTCATAAGTGGGATTAGTGCCCTTATAAAAGAGGACATTTCCCCCTTCTGTCATGTGAGGACACAGTTAAAAGATGCTATCTATGAGGAAGAGGGCCCTCATCAAACACTGACCCTGCCAGCACCTTGATCTTGGACTTCCCAGACTCTAGTACTGTGAGAAATATATTTTTGTGGTTTATAAGCCACATAATTTATGATATTTTTGTTATATCATCCCAAATGGACTAAGATGTTTGCTTCTGGCAACTTCTTGCATTTAATACTCTCAGCAGTCCCAGACGCTCTTATCCATCCTGGGCTTCTGTTTGTGGCATTCATGCTACCCAGGACACTTTCTGTTTGAAGCCTCCAGCCTAGGCAGTATAAGTTTCATCTTTTCTAAAACTCCCCCACCTGCTGTTCAGAAGTTTACTGTTATCCCAGAACAGGTCCATGTGCCCTGTTGAAATCCAGGGTGTATGACTTAGTTTTTCCAAATTGTTGATTATACACCCTATTGTTGCTTTTTACCCCTTCATGGCGCATGCTGAAGATGTGTCAAGTTTCACAATTCCACACTTTCTTTTGAGTGTAACCTCCATGTTTAGGCTGCCACTCGTCAAGGCCCTCCAGCCAAATACCACCATAAACACACCTGTAGTGTGTTACCTTCATTGCTAAGTTAATTATTGTTAACTAACAATTCGGGTTATTAACTCCAGCAGTGAGGAAAGCCATGGAGTGTCTCAGTAAAGGTGTAAGAAAATACTTATAGGATTTGGGTGGATGATTGTGTGTCTTAATAAATCTTATCTAGGAATAGGGAAAATTAGATCAAAGCTAGATCTGTAATTGGTAAAGCAGCAAATGGTCAGTCTTTGTGGAGTAACTGGAGTGGGAAACTCTATAGGACAAACAACCCAGCTTCTTCAATAAATATATTGCAAAAGCAAACGGAGGCAGGGGGAAGAAAGCAAGAGTCACTCAAGTTGGCCAGGATATGGGAATGTTTGGTCATTTTGTGGCTTGGACAATGTTCATATTTTGTCTGTGTTTAGACATGCTTACAGAATGGTCTTGTTTTTGTCTTGATCTATCACAGTCACAGAGTCTGATGTTGATATTCCATGAAATTGCTTATGTTTAGCAGGAGAACACCAAAGTTTGGCTGTGAATGCCAAGACAGATAGTAACAACACCAAAGTCTAACTGATTCTACGAGGCCAGCTCATGGGTGTCGGGTATACTTTTCTCATTCTTATACAAAAGGTACATTAATTTCTTCTCTGAATTACTGTAATACTTATTAATACTATCTCTTATCATGGCATTTAATTAAATGCAGCTAACTTAGTTGTTGGGCTGCACGTGTGCTTTCTCTCCTCACACAGGCGATAGCACCTGTAGGGTAATGATCAAGGATTAGAACTTTTTGGCCCACCTTAGTGTTTAAAGTCTTCAATTCAATCCATGCAGTAGATGCTTAATATTAAGTGTTAAATGGATGAATGAGTGAATGAATGAATAACTTGAGTCCATATAAAGCTCATTTCAGAGTTTTTCAATTTTAGAGAATTGAATAAAAATAAATCAATTCATGTTTAAATCAAATAAAATGATATTTTTCTTTCATATGCCAAATCAAAGATGAATTGACCTGAAAGTACTAAAGTTGGTTGAGTTGGTGTAAATATTCAAGTGACAAAAAGGCTTGCTGGTGCATTTGGGACATCGGTAATTTAAATCTTCAGCTAGATATGAGACATTATTTAATAAAAAATAAAAATTGTTTTTTTATTTCAAAACTTTATGGGATATTTTACTTGCCAAATGAGAAGTTTATTCATCATTTGGATATGATCTTCTAATACATGGTTAAACCTTCAATCTTCCCCTTTCCTGATAAAGTATTCACTATTTTAGTAAGTTTTTGTGAATTTCTGTTTTGATTAATTTATAGGTGCAAAAATATTGATGTTCTATTTTGATATGCATATTTTTATTTATTTTTGAACTATTCATGGCAATTGCTAATCACTGAAATAAAGAAATATCATAAGTAGAGCCCTTAAAATCAGGGGGAAAAGATATTAACAGTTTTGGAGCACTATGAGTTAAAAATATCTCTCTGCAAATAACTCAAATATGAGGACCAATATCAACAGGAGATCTATATCTATCTCTAATCTATCTATTGAGAGAATTTAATTTAGGGAATTGGCTCACAAGTATGTGGGCACTGGCAAGCCTGAAATTCATATAGCAAGCTGCAGGCTGGAAATTGAAGTAAAAGTTGATGTTGCAGTCTTGAATCCAAAGGCTGGAAACTCTGCAGTCTAGAAGCAAAATTCCTTCTTCCTCAGGAAACCTCAATCCTCGCTCTTAAGTATTTCAATTAATTGGATGAGGCCCATCCACATTGTGAAAGGTAGTCTGCTTTAATTAAAGGAACTTATTCTAAATGTTAATCACTTCAGAAGGATACCTTTAAAGAGACATCTTAGTGTTTGTGATTAGTGTTTAGTGATTAGTGTTTGATCAACTGGTCACCATCGTCTAGCCATGTTGACACTAAAAATTAACCGTTAACAATGTATTTCCAACTACTTATCGACCTGATATAAAAGTCCTACCCTGAAAGTTTCATTTCATATTAATATCTTGTAAAACAGTTGATTTTTTAAAAAATCAACTTCTCAGTGACATATTAGTTACAGAAATAATTATTCTGTTGTACAGATAAGGACACAATATAGTCATGTGCCATATAATGACATTTTCTTTAACAATAGACAACATATACGGTGGTGATCTCATGAAATTATAATGAAGTTGAAAACTTCCTATTGCCTCATGATGTCATGGCCATCACAAGGTCCTAGCACAAAGCATCACCTTTTCTGTGTTTAGATACACAAATACTTACCATTGTGTTACAATTGCCTACAATATTCAGTATAGTAACATAATGTACAGGTTTATAGCCTAGAGCAATAGACTATACCATATAGCCTAGATGTGTAGTAGGCTATACCATCTAGGTTTGTGTAAGTACACTCTAGGATGTTTGATGCATTTCTCAGAATGTATCCCCATTGTTTAGAGACACGTGACTGTACTTTGGGGTTTGAATGGTTTGCCTAAGGTCATCAGCAAGTGTGTGATGCTACTTGTTAATAAAGAAGCCAACCTTTTTTTTCCAACCTGGTGTATTAAGGTTACTCCATTTCTTTGAGATCTTGGTGTTTGTGACTATTCCTTACATATTT